CAGATTTTCTGCAGAGGAAGATTACAGTTCTTGAACTATTCAATAATGCATCCGTTTGGCTGCTGAGGTATGACTTTGTCTTTGAGTATCCCCGCCCAGTGATGCCCAATATAGTCTTTGTTGGGGGCATTAACTGTGCACGGAAGAAGCCGCTCTCCAAGGTGTGTAACTCTCTATTGTAAAAGTACATATTTGTTATTTTACAAGGTCTTCTGTCTCTTGCATTGTTACATTCAAGTGTGGTTGGAGGAGGGTCTGAGGGCCACTCTGGAGACCCAGTGCTTCTCTAATGGGCACTGCTTTGAGATTTTTAGACATAACCCTTCTTGCCCAATAGGTTGCAACTTACCTTTGAGGAGATTTTCTGCTTCCCACCTGGCTACCAGAGAAAGACAAAGAGAGATGCACTGTTTGGGTATTAATGGATCCTTCTTCCACAACTCACTTAGAGGCAAGTGCTTAGCTCTGCTCCCTCTAATCATCTTCTTTATGTGTCAGAGGAGTCTCAACAAAGATTTCCATTTGGTGTAGACCCTGTATCAGTGGTGGGGAAAGTAGGGTCCTTCGACTGCATGTTGCCACTCCATGGGCACTGTTATAGCTCCCAAGATTATGCTGTCAGGTTAGTTCAGTTAATATCCGAAGTCCCTGCCCCTCTAAAGTCCTACAGAATTTCATAGACATTGGGGGGGGGATTAGAAGCCTGTGTTCATCACAACTGGCATTTATCCCAGTAAAGCAGAGGTTCCCAACCTTGAGTACCCCAGGTGTTTTTGGACTACAATTCCAGAAACCTTGTGCAGACTTTTGGGAATTTCAGTCCAAGGGCAATGGGTTGCCCAAGATTCAAAATTACTGCAGTAAAGTGTTAATTCCAGAATGAAACCAAAGATCACAGATAATCATATTAAAATCCATCTGAGTGTCAACGTCTTTTCACTGTTGCAATAATTCCAGGAAACATCACCTAGTCTAATTTTATAAATTTTATTTACCTACATTGCTTCTATGTTCCATATGCACAAGATACTTCAAAGTTGTTGTAAAATCGAAAAACCTTTCAGCTACGAAGAAAACTGTAGGCAGAAATACTTTTAAAAATCAATTCCTGCAACTTGTTGAAAGGTACACATGTAGAAAGTTAAGATATAGGCAGAATGTAAGTCATATTTGAATATAAAACACAGGAGCAAATGTGTAAGAGTAAAAAAGAACAATGAGAATTTTTAAAGTTACATTCCAGAAATACAAGTAGTATTTACAGCTTATAAAGGCAGAGAATACATCTCTAAAACAAATCAGTGAAAAGAAAAAGCATTGTAACTTACTCCTTAGCAGTACTTAAAAAGCATGGAAAATGGTCATAGATCTTAAAAGTAAATAAAATAAAATAAATTAAAATGCATTGCTTAGCCTCTAAGTATATTAAGAATATACAAACAAAACATTTAAACAATATTCTCACCCAGCTAAGCCAGTTAAAGTCTATGCTGGAAAATCCATGACTTTCCATGTCTTTTCTCTGTGGTGCTTCATTATCTTTTCATCCTCTCTAGCAACACTGCCTGGCATTGTAGTTGTATGGCTGCTGTTTTATGGTTGCAGCTGAAGTAGTTGTAGATTGAGTATAACAGCCTAGTTCTCCAAACAGAGAAGCACAGGCCATACATGGGCACACACCTCTCCATTTGGTCTTTCTTTGTAAAGGACATGTTTCTGTTTGGAGAATCTGTGTTGCCTCCCTGGCCCCACCCCATCCCCAGCCAAGCAGAACTGGGGTGTTACACTCAATCCACAGCTGCTTCAGCTGTAACCATAAAACACCAACCATACTGCTTCCTAACTTACATCTAAGAGAGACGTGCCTGGTGAATTTCATCTTGCCAAGAACTTTTGGACTTTATATCTAATAGTAACTTTCCTGGGAAAACCCCCATCTTTCCAAAACTTTTGGATGTTAAGTACTTCACTCTGATACAAACCTGATGAAGTTATGTTTTAATTCACAAAAGCTTGTGGATTGAATGATGATTTTTTAGTGGTCTGTAAAAGTATTGCCTATTTTTGTTTTTATGCTTTGGTAGTGGAAGTAAAAGCAGATAGCCCATTCTAAGAATGACTGATGGTAAGGTTGTTTTGGCTGGTAATCTGGATCAAAGTCTGCAGAATCTGGCTGTATCTGGTCTCTGGTGATTTTTGTTTTTGCAGGCCTGCAATTTAGTGGACCAGCTGTAAAATAATAGCCACTCTCCTAGGTGTCAGTAAGGTAAAGGTAAAGGTAAAGGTTCCCCTTGACAAATTTTGTCCAGTCGTGTTCGACTCTTGGGGGCGGTGCTCATCCCTGTTTCCAAGCCGTAGAGCCAGCGTTTGTCCGAAGACAATCTTCCGTGGTCACATGGCCAGTGCGACTTAGACTGTTACCTTCCCACTGAGGTGGTCCCTATTTATCTACTTGCATTTGCATGCTTTCGAACCGCTAGGTTGGCGGGAGCTGGGGCAAGCGACGGGCGCTCACTCCGTCATGTGGATTCGATCTTACAACTGCTTGGTCTTCTGACCCTGCAGCACAGGCTTCTGCGGTTTAGCCCACAGTGCCACCACGTCCCTTGTCCTAGGTGTCAGCAGGTGATGGTAATAGGTCCTTTCAGCCTTGCTTCAGCATTAAACCCCAGAAGGAGGAGGAATAACCCAGCTTTTAGTGAGCAGTTCACTGGTTAAGAGTTCGCAGTGTTGCCAGTGGAGTATAAACCAACCAAGAGTGGATGTATTTAATCCTTATGTCTGTTGTACATAAACAGAGCATCTACTCAAGTGTATCCCCCAATGCCTGGAATCCAGTAGTAACTTTTAACTAGAACAGGCCTATTGAGTCAATGGGAATTTGATGAGACAACTCATCCATAAGTTCCATTGATTCAATGGGACTATTCTAATTGCAGTTTAGTATTGGGTCTCAACTACTGTGTGCTTTGAAAATAAAACCATCGTTATAGTTCCAGAATCTGCTGATTTACATGGGGTAGTTACTTTAAAGGATATATTTAATGATTAAAGATTATTAGCACCAATTGCTACCAGGAGTATCAGGAGTACTGAGCCTCGTGGCGCAGTGGTTAAATCACTGTACTGCAGCCAAAACTGTGCTCACAACCTGGGGTTCAATCCCAGGTAGCAGCTCAAGGTAGACTCAGCCTTCTACCCTTCCGAGTTCGGTAAAATGAGTACCCAGCTCACTGGGGGGGAGGGCAATGTGTAGCCTGCATAATTAACTTGTAAACCACCCAGAGAGTGCTTGAAGCACTATGGAGCAGTATATAAGCAGCACATTTTGCTTTTCTTCTTCTTCTTCTTCTTCTTCTTCTTCTTCTTCTTCTTCTTCTTCTTCTTCTTCTTCTTCTTCTTCTTCTTCTTCTTCTTCTTCTTCACAAAATAAAATAAAGGGAGTGGATAAATTTTGAATCACTTCTATATTGCCAACCCACCATATTCACTGAGGGAGTATCACAGAACCTTCCAAAAGGAAAGTATGAATGAACGTGGGCAGATACATTTTTATGAAAAGTGTTTATGAACAATGGATAGAGAAGGAGCTTCAAAGAGAGGGCTGGAGGATGCATGAACATGAGGAATTAGGGATCTTGGTGAGGGGGTAGATGTCCCACACAGAGCATGGAGAAAGGAGAGATTTCTGCTGCTTAGCATGCAGGTGAAATGGGGACAAAGGTGCTTTAGAGGCTGTAGTACTCTGAGCTATGAATGTTTTTGTGAAGAAATACGTTGTTGTTTTAATCATCTGAATGAAAATGTGGTGTAGGGGATCAGGCTGTACAGAAATATTCAGAAATGATGCAATTATGTAGGAAAGAACCTTCCAAATGTGAAAGGAAGGGTGACTCATTATAGCCCCCTAGACAAAGTGTTTGACACAATGTCTAATTTTTAAAATATGATTTGTGGCTGAAATCCACTAACAGTTACAGCACATATAAGCCTTATGACATCATCACCCGCAGCCATATTTTGGTAATCAGAGGTTTCCTGCACTCCCAAGCCAACTACACCAGAGCACAGGTTGCTGTCCTCTGAAGATGCCGGCCACAGAGACTGGCAAAACGTCAGGAAGAACAACCTTCAGAACACGGCCGAAGAGCCCGAAAAACCCAGAACAACCATTCCTTTTCCTTGTTTTCCTTAGGACAGCTCTGGCCCTGGAAAAGCCTTTGAGACCAGCAGGTGGGAGTGGGGCGGAGTCTCAAATGTCTAAAAATTGCCACTTCTAGTCCTGGTGGCTGTGGTAATTTTCAGACTCTCTCCCCTGTCCTGTGTTCCTCAGGACCAAAGGGAGCCTAAGAACCTTAGGAGATGGAGGATATAAAGCTTTCTGTTAACAAATACCGCTGTGGCTGGTGACATTATGAGGCTTGGATTCCAGCCAGTGTTTGGAAAACTGCCACACATTGTCTGTGGTCAACTTCTTTACAGGGCAAGACTTGGCCAGGAGTTCAGACGAATGTTAAGTGGGTATTCTGGTCCATTAACTCTCTTCTCCCCTCCTCCAGTCCTAATGACAACACTTAGAAAGTGATGTGTGCTTAATGGTTAAAATTAAATATTTCTGGCTTTCAGATTGATTAATTGTTTTTGTGAATTAGAAGAAAGTGAGTCTGTCCAGTCTGTCTCCATTATTGCTCTATTGTTAAGAACATAAGAGGAGCCCTGCTGGATCAGGCCAGGAGCCCATCTAGTCCAGCTCCCTTTATCTCACAGGGGCCCCACCAGATACCTCCGAGAACACAAAAGACAACTAGATACCTGTCTCCTGATATCCCTCCCCTGCATCTGGCATTTTTAGGTACCTTCCTTTGAAGGTAATCTCCAGGCTTAAATTGAATTTGCTGCAAGTCACACAAATATCTTGATTGTTTACCATCTAGTCAAAATTGGACTGCAAAGCTAAACTTTGGTCAAGGCTCAGAACTTCCCAATCAGAGTGCTGAGGAAGACAAATATTAACACAGCGAAAAAGGCTGAAGGCTCACTCATTTCTTACATTTCATATGCTGTGTACCATGAGATTTTTAAAGGGATTCATCATTGGAATTAAGGTCCGTGCAACCGGCAAGGAGATTTTTACAGGTCAAGGCATATTTCACCTACCTGCATGGCTTCTACTTATTTTCTCTCTCTGGACCCCTTCTGATGGGGGGAAAGTATTGGTAATACCCATGGATGGCAGCCACTGGCTCAGCATTCATCCAGTTCTGGAACACCTTCAGCAGAGAGGACACCAAATAGTTGTTATTGCTCCTGATGCAAACTTGTGGATGAAACCATCTGATCACTACACAATGAAGACATTTGCTGTACCCTACACAACGGAATATTTGAAAGCAGAATTCCAGAAGCTTGGCCACAAGATTTTTGCACAGCAGTCTTTCCTATCCAAAATGACCGAGACATTTGCAAGAATAAGAAATATCACAACACTTTTCTTCAGTAACTGCAAGCAACTTTTGAATAACCAGGAGATGATTACTTACATCAAAGAAAACAGATTTGATGTTGTATTTATGGACCCAGTCTCTCCCTGTGGACAGATCTTGGCTGAGTATTTATCCCTTCCTTCTATTTACTACTTACGTGGAATACCATGTGGTTTAGATTTTGTGGCAACTCAGTGTCCAAACCCACATTCTTATGTCCCAAAGTTCTTCACAGCCCATACGGATCACATGACATTTAATCAGAGAGTCAAGAATTTTTTGGTTGGCTCATTTGAATTCATAATATGCTATCTTCTTTATTCACCATACGAACTCCTGAGCAAGGAATTCCTGCACCGAGACATGACCGTTCCAGAGCTTTATAGTCAAGCATCTGTTTGGCTTCTGCGCTATGACTTTGTATTTGAATATCCAAGGCCTGTCATGCCCAATATGGTCTTCATAGGTGGAATAAACTGTGGAAAAAAGAGTCCGCTTGCACAGGTTGGATTTTTTGCCAGTCATGCATATTGTTAAAGCTTTTGTATTTAAAAAAACCCCGAAAAATGGTAAGAGGAAGGTGGTTTGAAATGTTTGAACAGATTATATAGCATTAGAACTAAGAGATGTTGGCTGAAATCAAGTACTGTAGTAAGTTGCAGCTAGAGTAGACTCACTAAATATGTGGGGATTTGGTGAATTCCTCTGTACGTTTCATTGCTTCAAAGGTAGACTCATTGAATATATGGGGATTTAGTGAGTCAATTCCTCTGTACGTTTCATTGCTTCAAAGCATCTAGTCAATGTAATACTAGATTTTGGTCATTATGTGATAACTGGAAAGCAAATTTAAAATAAATGGTGTTTTTTTTAAACCCAAGGACAGATTTAGGCAACTCTGTGTCACTTCTAGATTGTAGATTCATGTAGCCAGAATCAAAGATAGTTGGTGAAATGGAAAAATAATCTGCTATTTTCATATAGTTTTCCAAAAGCTGGACATGTTAGTCTGTTTTAGCACAAGCAACAAAAATTTAAAAATGGCAAAGTAAGTGGAGATAACAAGGAAATAGTGTCTGATGGTTATAATCCAGAAAAGCTCACAATGAAGTAAACTTGTTAATCTTTGAAGTGCCACTGGTTTATTTATTATTTATTTATTTGTTTTATTTTTGTTAATCTTTGAAGTGCCACTGGTTGTTTGTTTTTGTTACACTTACCTTCATTCAGCAGACTGAGAGTACCTACTAGGTTGGGGAGATACATCATTTTTGGAGAGGATCAGACATATTGCTGGCCTTTTACGAACAAACCCATATTATAAACTAGATAGGAGCCTCCATAACTACTGTAATCCTAATACCCAGATCCCTAATAATCTGTCAAGCAGTGGCAAATCTGCCTTTAGGAATCTTACCAATGTCCAAGGCAGTGTGTGGATTGAATGGCTCCTTCATGTGATCTAAGTGCTTGTTCCTTTTTATTATTATTATTTCTTTTGCAAACGGGTTGGGTTTCTAGGTCCTGTGACCACTTCATGGGCATTGTACTTGTGTCCCTTTTTTTGTTTTTTAAATCTTTTAAAGTATATCTACACATCAGCAGTAACAGCTGTTGCTGCTAGCAAAAACAACATAAATACATTGCTCAGAAGGAGACAACTCAAAGGCTACAGTCTTCCACGCCTCCCTTGCAGATGAAAGAGGGCTTGAATAGGCACATTTCCTGCTTTTAACTGTAAAGAAAGGAGTGTTGTGTGTCTTCTCTCTATTTTTTAACCCTGCTCTTCACAATACCTTGCAAGTCTTTCAAAGCTGTTTCCTCCTCCCAACGCTGTACAAAAGTCTCATCAATATTGTACTGTCAATTTATTTCTTTTGCAAAGGGGCCTGGTAAAGGAGGGAAGGGAAAGGGGGAAGAGGAGAGAAGGCTTGGATCTCTCTACTGTATTGTCAAATGTATCTCTTTTGTTATTTTTCAAGAAAAGGATAAGGGGGTGTTGATTGCCCCAAGAAACAGTCGAGAAAATGAATCAATACAGATTGAGAGCAGTGTAATCTGTTATAATGGTTCAAATAGAAATAAATGAATCAATACAGTTAAATATTTTTTGAACACTCCATGACCATGAAAATAAATGTATCAGTACAATAGACGTATGGAATGATTCAGTATAACAGGGGTTCTTTTGGCAGGTATGATGAAGCCCTTCCTTTGAAAGCCCTGTTAGGGTTGCTATAAGTTGGTTCCCATTCAATGGCACATAACAAAGCATTGTTATGCACAATGAGTCATCAAAATGTCACAAATACAAGTGTTGGTAGTAGGGTGTTTTTTTAAAAGGTTCCCAATGTCTTTCAATGCTGAATTGGTATATTTCTTCCATAATACCTTTCTCGGTGTCACAACAGTTCTTCACACTGAAATAAAGCATAATTTAGTTCCTTAAAACAGAATAATACTGGAATTACCGGGTTGCTATTCATGTTCCAAATCAGTTGTCAAGTTGTATAAAAGTATGTACAATTTTACCAGACAGTATTAGGAGAAATCGCAGTGAATGTTATTTTTTTCTAGCTACTTGTTAAGATGAGAGATGCTCTACCCAAATGATACGCTATCCCAGATACCAAATTTTGATTAGAAATTTGTTCCTTTGTAGGAATTTGAAGCCATAGTGAACAACTCTGGTGAACATGGCATTGTAGTGTTTTCCTTGGGTTCAATGGTCTCTGAAATTCCAATGAAAAAGGCCATGGAGATTGCTGAAGGACTGGGAACAATACCTCAGACGGTAAGAAAGAAAAACAAGTACATCTCTTGTTTATTTGTTGAGAACACATTCACTACACACACAGTATGTTTCACTCTGTTTTAAAATAACTCAGAAGTTCCTGTTACCATAAGCCCTATCTTACTACAAGATAGTATTGGATTGGCTTCTAGAGCCCTCTTCCTGATTCAGGTAACCACAGCTTTTTCATTTGAAACTGTAGCAGAGCCAGAAGGTTGCAATTATTGGCTGGAATCTTTTTTCATACATAAGGCTGATGGCTGCAGCAATATTTTGAGAAATAAAACATTCCCGATTTTTCCCTTGAAGGTTCCATGGAATTACTTCTGTTGTCAAGAAGTTGTTGGGGGCCACTGGAGAAGGTGCCTGGAAACTGATTCCCAAAAATTGCTGCCACAGGGATGACTTTACATGACCCATGTGCAGATTCTGCACCTTAGGGTCTAAAATAGTTATAATGATGTATTTCTATTATTTCTATTTATTATATTCTCTTTTATGAACAGTCAGTACAGGCAGTTTCCCTTCTAGTTTCACTTGTACAAATTTATCAGAATTAGCTGTAGTCTGTGTTTTTTGAGCAGAGAATCTAGTGCTAGAGGTTGGAATAAGAATAATTTTCAGCAAGCATAGTATTGCAAAGATTTGGCAATAGAGAAGCTACTAGTTTTCATACCAAGAATTTGGTGAAGGGTAATAATGTATGATGTACATCATAGTGTTTATTGCAAGGTAAATAACAATATCTTTATTTCCTATTAATACCTGACACGTTTTTTGCTGAGTTCTGACCAAACATTTATAATAATTTATCTATAATATTCACTGATTATAATTCCAGTATTGTCTTATTCATAGATTTATTGGGCTAGTAGTTTGTTCAGATTTGAATAAACTGATACATAAATGCTTATGCACACAACACCTTTATGTTTCCTTTAGTGGCATGGATAATCAAAAAGTATCTGATTAAACACCATTTTCTGTTCCATCTAAACCAGGAAATGAGATATTTCAGCTTAAGAATGAGCTAGGTTTTAAAGTACCATTTGAAGTTGGTTAAATATTCTGGCTTGTTTGAAGCCAATATACATAGTTACTAATGTCTGCATGAAATGGGAAACAATGGCTGAAATCCTACTGCTTAGTGCAATGAGTTGCACTACGCTAGGCCCATTGAATTAGTTGGGATTTGGTTGGTTAACTCCTCTGTAAATTCCATTGATTCAAATAATCAACTCCTCTGTGACTTGCTTTAGCATAGTAAGTCATAGAGGAGGCCCATGTGAATCAGTATCAGTGGCCTTATTCTGTTGCGACCTACTATATTAATCAACACAATTTCAGCAAGTGATTTAATTGCAGATTTTCTCGTTTGCTTGTTCACAATTCAAAGAGAGGAGCAAAAGGGTTCTATAGATAAACAGAAGACTTGCTCTGATTGTCTGAAGATGGATACTGAGTTACCTTTGAATAAGTTCCTGAACCTAAGTTTTCCACCAGTAAATTGACAATTGTACTTTTCTAAGGATATATTTTTAAAAAGAACAAAATGTTCTCCATTTCAGGGCTAGGATCGCAACTATGTAAAAAACCTCTTAGTTAAATGCATGTCATGAAGACTCTTAATTCAAATTAAATTTGCATAATAGTAAAATACTGTTGTGTCACAATAATCATACTTGGTTTTAGACAATTTAGGCAGCTTTGTTCTTTGTTTATTTCTTAGAGTGGTATCTTGTCTTTTCACCAATTTTTACTATGGAAGAGGCAATTCCCTCCTAGGAAAGAAAGAAGGAACTGTGCTTCTTTTATATGTGTGTGCTTGTCATTTGAAGGTTTTATAAATGCTTTAATCTATGCAGGTGCTGTGGAGGTATACAGGAGAAGTCCCGCCGAATCTTGCCAAAAACACAAAGCTTGTTAAGTGGCTTCCACAGAATGACCTGCTTGGTATGTCTTGGTCGGAAATTAAAGTGTTGATTCCTTCCTAAGGAACAAGGATGCACTGTGTTGAAAAAATTCAGGTGAAAATAAATCTGTGCTGTCAGGTCAATTCTGACTTATGGCTACCTTTGCCAGGTTTCCCAGGTACTCAGGACAAGTTTCCCTGCTTCTGAGCTTGCCTGTGGCTACACAGGCTTGTCTCTTCTCCCAAGAGGCACAGCGGGGGGGTAGAACTACCAACCTCTCCTAACTCACTGAGATATCCAACCAGTCTGTACTATTTAAAAAGTTAGCATAAAGTTGAATGGACGTGTTCTCAGATGAATCTATGTATGAACATCACAAGGAGATTAGTTTACAAGGGAAGATTAGAGAAGGAAAATTACATATCAAGCATTACTAAGAAGGGAAATTGTTGAAAGGAGGTTGGACAGAAGTAAAAAAAATGCTGCTTCCAGATGGTGGATTCTTAGACCTTCAACTCAGAAGGTATTGTGTAGCTATTCTATCCTCCTTAATGGGCTTTGTTCTGATAAGAAAAAAGATAGAAGAAGTAGTGGTAACCCCCACACCCACACACACACACACAAATATGGAACAGAGACACTATGATGAATTCACCCTCCTCCCACAGAATTCTGTGTTTGATGTGGAAGAGTTGTATGATCAAAATCTCACTTAGAAGCACCTTCTAAATGAGGCTGCAATCCCAGTCCTACATAACAGGGAGCCCTGCGTATCTTGCTTTGTTATTAGAAGGAAAACTGGGTGCATATCTCTGATTAATTCATAAAGAATAGGCCTAATGAGATGCTACTAGCAGAAAGAAGGCAGAGAAAGGTTCTATCAGACACTACTAGTGGTGAGAAGAAAGACAATTAAAGCTGTTCTCTATCTTTAATCCTCTCCTATTTTTCTAGTTAGGCGGCCAACTAGAATAGTAGGAAGAACTGAGCAGACATCAATGGACAAATCCGCCATTGTTATTTCTAATCTGGCAATAAGGAGAACAGAGCTGTGCAGGCACCTTGATGCCCACAAGCAGCAAACTGGGTACTCTGAATCTGTATCTACTTAGCTGTTCCAAATAAAGCAATAAGGAAGAAATCAGTTATGATTGACTGAAGTTACTTTGGGTTCTGTAGAATTTAGCAGCAAATGAAATATGGCATCAGAAACACTTGTGGTTGATTTCAATGGTTTTACTGAAATGCCAACTACATGGGGCTGCACATCTGATCAAAGCAGTAACAAAAGAAACTGGCCATTTGTCCTGTCAATATTTCCATTTCCAAGCTGTTTTGTTTGCTGTCACTATTCCACGATCACTGGCCCATTTCCCCCATAGCTGCATTTTGGAGCAAAAGTGTGGTTAGGAAACATCTTGTGCACATAGCCTCATTTTTGCATTTTCTCATGATGTTAAATTTCACTTGATTGCATTCAGTGGAATTTTAAAAATTCAGGTTCAAAACACAGATTTGGTCTGAGGCAGTGGACCTATCCATGAAAGCTCACAATTAGAATATAGCAATTAGTCCTTAAGGTGACACAAAGTTTTTGTCTTCTTTATTTTTCATTTTACTTTTGTTTTTCCTGAGATTTGGATTGGAATCCTACATTTAAACATTGTTTTAAAATAGTTCATACTTGATTGACTTGAATTTCTTCTGTCAGTTTATATCCATTACCTGATTACCAGACTATTATTTTGCCTAATTACGGGCAAGAGAGCTACCTTTCTGCCAGTTTCTTCCATCTGATCATCACAGTCTAACATGCACAGGAAATAGAGGAAGCCATAGCTCAAGTGCTGCATTTTGTGATGGCTTCCAGGGTTGATGGTAAACTGAGAAAGGAAACAGAAAACATCAGAGGAATGGTGCTGTTGTGCAGAGCTTATTGCCATACCTTGCCTGACAGGTAGCCCTCCGAGCTACTACAACAGGCAAGCTAGGCAAATGTATGAAGTAAGCAATCCAAACCAGCTTTTACTATTTTGGCTATTTTTGCTATTTTTATTTCTCCATTTAGGGAATTCTGACACTTTATAGACTTTTAAATATGTCACACCTGGGAAAAGGGTCTAAACCAGGAGGCCTAGCTCTGCCTAGCTTCCTGCTTAGGACTTTATAGACTTTCAAATATGTCACACCTGGGAGAAGGGTCTAAACCAGGAGGCATCACTCTGCCTAGCTTCCTGCTTAGAAATAAATCTCCCATCTAGCATTAGGGCAGGTACAAGAAACTGAGCTGAGCTAAAAGCTTTCCAGTTTAGGACATTTTCCTAAACTACATTTAGGTATCTGCCTGTCAAGTAGAATGGAGAATTATGAGATTTGTAGTCCAAAAATTGCATCCCTATCTGTAACAATGCAATTTTTTTCATATAGGCTATTCTAGTTGCATAGTAAGTAGCAAATAAAATAGACCTCTTTGTGTTTTTTTCATTGGCATCTCTTTCTCATTCCACAGCTCATCCAAAAGCCAGAGCTTTTATAACCCATGCCGGCTCTCATGGGATATACGAGGGGATCTGCAATGCAGTACCAATGGTGTTGATGCCACTGTTTGGAGATCAAATGGATAATGCAAAACGGGTGGAATCTCGAGGTGCTGGAGTGATCCTGAATATAATTGAAATGACTGCGAAGGACATATCCAATGCCCTCCAGGCTGTCATTTATGATAAAAAGTGAGTAATGAAAGGTGTGGCAGTAGCAAACTGGGTTTCTGGTTGTACCTAAGTAAGTTCCATATTTAAAACTAAAAACCTTTCATGTGCAAATTGGTTAAAGACCAATGGAACTTTTTCTTCTTGCCTACTTTCCTCCTTTTTTGTAGTTCATTTTTACCATTTTTGCTGGCATGTATTGGTCGGGACGTGGTGGCGCTGCGGGTTAAACCGCAGAAGCCTCTGTGCTGCAAGGTCAGAAGACCAGCAGTCGTAAGATCGAATCCATGCATCAGAGTGAACTCCCATTGCTTGTCCCAGTTCCTGCCAACCTAGCAGTTCGAAAACATGTAGTAGATAAATAGGTACCACATCTGTGGGAAGGTAACAGTGTTCCGTGTCTAGTCGCGCTGGCCATGTGACCATAGAAACTGTCTTTGGACAAACGCTGGCTCTACGGCTTGGAGACGGGGTGAGCACCGCCCCCTAGAGTCGGACACGACTGGACTAAATGTCAAGGGGAACCTTTTCCTTTACCTTTATTGGTCATTCAGACTGAAACAATGTAAGATGATAGGCAAAACAAAGAGTCTCCACTGAGCACCTCCTTGGGTTCTACCTTCCACTCACAGAGTCTAGGGTTTCTAGGGTGTGTGTTATTTCTCAGCATATATAAAGTTTCTAAGTAACACTATTTCTTAAAATGCTTTCAGATATAAAGAGAACATCCAGCGTCTCTCGGAACTTCACCTGGACAGGCCCATCCATCCTCTTGATCTTGCGGTGCATTGGGTCGAGTTCGTTATGAAGCACAAGGGAGCGGCCCATTTGCGGCCAGCAGCCCATGACCTGAACTGGGTCCAGTACCACTCTATTGATGTCATTGCCTTCCTCCTAGCCGTAGTGCTTCTTGCTCTCATCATCTCACTAAAGTGTTGTCTGTTCTGCTGCAGGAAATGTTGTGGCAAAGGTGGAAGAGTGAGCAAGAAAAGCAAATCAAAGTCTCAGTAGAAGAAGGGATAGTGTACAGAAGAAAGAGGAGTGTGAGCAAAAGGGCCTTGGTTTTGTAGATCATGAGGCATCCTGCAACTGTCTTTGGATATCTGGGAGCAGTTTGTGGGTGTACTTTACTAAAACAAACAAACAGAAAATAAAGACTTGCACAAGTCACTTCCATACCTACATACCCGTGTAACCAATTTGGTCAATAGAAAGCAAAGGATGTGTGAACTTCCAGGCAGAATTCCTAGCTCATCCGTTTCTCTCTTTACGATTGAAGGGAGGGCGTCTAGACAGGCTCTGCTTTCGTCTGCAAACAATTGTGACTGTGCAGATTCCTGAACCTCTTAGAGCCCTCTTCACCTTTTCGTCTAGGGATTTTGGCAAAGGAAGGACAAGGCTATACAGGATTAAAAGTGATTTAAGGCACCCGAGCCTTCATGGTTTACTGTCATGGGTTTTGTAACATATTTGCACAGTTCAGTTGAGTGTGTCTGTAGGAATGTGAGTTTCTGATGCCAGCAATGTGCAACTTGTCTCCAAGGTCAAGTGTTTTTTGTTTTTTTAAAAAAGAATTTTATTCAGAGATGGCTCTCCTCTTTTCCATTGCAGTGATACATTTCTTTGATGATTTCCATTTAATAATTGCCTACCAGGAAAATGTGAAAAGTTCATTAAGAAAAATTCTTGCACAAGATGTTGGTGTATTGTCAGTTACAAACATTAACGGGAGAAGAATTGCCATCTATTTTTTTTTCTTTGTCTTTTGGGAAGGATCATTCTTGTTGTAGCCCCTTTGGGTTTTTTTTCTCTTGCCATGTGGGGAGTACTGTGACCAATACCAGTGCTGGGAATTGGTCATAGTATGGGCGCCTGTAAAGAACACTTTCCCAAAGCCCTCTATGGTGGTTAGCTGAATATTGATGTAATAATAACAATCATACTATAAAGCAATCCTAAGTAAGGGATGTTATATCATCTGGCAGACAATTCACCAAACAATTCATCTTAGCTTGCTAAGCATAGTTTAAGAGATGAAAGGGTAGCTCTGTCCCATCATCCACCCCCCTGGGTTTTTTCTTTCTCAAAACCAATGCAGGAAGGGGGGGAGCTAGGCCAGCCTTGGGGTCCACTTTCACTTTATGCTGTGGACATGAAAGGATTTCTGAGCTGGCAGACCCAAAGTTATCTTGCTTCCCTCCCCCCCAATGTCCTCTTTTGACCCATTTCCACTAGTGGAGACCCAAGAATTTTTTGCAAATATGCTGGGTGTATGGGATGAATACATTAACCTGCTGACAGAACTCCTTTCCTGTGGACAGAGGGGCACTTCTGTCCCATCCTAATTCTCTCCCCCCCCCCAGTTGGTCTCTGGCAATACCAAATCTGTGTTGTTAAATTCCTTACTGCAGTCCTAAGCAAATTACTGTGCCAACTTTCAGGATGGTTGTCTCAGCCCTCAAAATGAGACTTCCCTTCTTCAAATTATAGGACCATGTAGCTGATCCTGTTCCATTGGTGTGTAACTTCAGGCAAAACAATTACATGTTGTAGCTGATCATTGTAACTCTTCTATAAATAAATAAATCTCAAACAACATATTTAACGGTTCTTATTTCTTCAGATTGAGAGGTAGGGGATAGTTTGTTCATATCTGCTACCTAGAATTTTTTTTGGGGGGGTGAGTGTGGAAACATGTATTTTTTAATCACATTGAAAGGAGTGTAATCATTCAGTTATCACTGTGTGATTATCCCTCACCCCCGGTCCTTTGTCCATCTAAGGAGCCTATTCTGACCAAAGGAAAGTGAAACCAATACATGGAGGATATATCAGGGATCTCCCACCAACTGTCCTCAGACTGAAGAAGCTACTTGGATGAGTAGCAAAATGTTTCAACCCGACAAGACAGAAGTCCATTTGCCATGACTCAACTTCCACATAACCTCATCTGGATAACTGAGAAGCTTTCCAGATATACTGTATTGCCCTATTTAGTGTGTGAAAATACAAAGCATGGAAAAAAGGTGCGGGTGGATGCTCTTGTCCTGCCTCTCCATCCCTTGACCTCCTCATGTTGATAAGCAAGATAGAAAGTTGGTAACTGTGTTTGTCTGAATATGATTACAGTGCAGGAGCTCAGGAATTAAAAGTTAAATTTACTTGTGGGGGTAGAATGTGAACATGATTAAATTACATTCCAGAAGAAATAAAGAGAATAGTTGCTTTTTTGATGAGATGAACAATGTTTTCTAGTTACTCTCAAAAGGTACATTTAAAAGAATCTGCTGAGTTTTGTGCTATTCTTTTAACATGGTTTTGTCAAGCCTTTTGCATGTTTATATTGTCATCATGCAGCATCATGACTGGCCGTCCAGAGGGAACTAGAGAATATTTCCCTGTTGTGCATTTACCAACAACACAGGGAGAGGCCAGGGAATTATTTGCCTCTCTGTTTGTGCCATACTCCCCACTGTTCCTTTTGCTATTTATTCCATCAACTACCATATGCAATGTTAACGCTAATCACAAGTGAGGAGTACGTATGAAATGTTAACGCTAATCACAAGTGAGGAGTATGGTATAGTACCACTCTTTTGGGATAAGTATGCAGGATATTTTGTTCTCCTGGCAGGACCTATGGGGTTATGTAGTGTTTTCAGTTGCATCACATTGTCTTGCTTTTGGCTTGCATGATCATATACTCTTGGAGTAGTTTCTGGGCACATCCAGATGACATAAGTGACAGTGTCCAGAGTGGAACATAGTATGGGAGTGTACCCTACTGCTTCAGTCAGAATTCAAATACTTTCAATGTCAGTTCAGTGATACTTAACTTCTTAACCATTTAAAAAAAGAAGGGATTTGAAGCCAGTGTAAGGAGTTGGTAAGAAGGTGGTGATTGGCAGTGAAGGGGGAAGATGGGGAGGAAGGGGGCTGTGTGAGATGTGGACTGTTGAAACGCATCTTCCTTGTGTGAATGGCAATTTAAATGCCAATATGTGGTACATAGAATTTTGTATTAACCCACACTGCATGAATTTACTTTCATAAATTGCTTTCATGAACACTATACCCTAGGTTCTTAACCTTTGTTACTTGGATGTTTTTGAACTGCAACTCCCAGAAACCCCAGTCAGGACAGCTGGTGGTGAAGGCTTCTGGGAGTTGCAGTCCAAAACTCCTGAGTAACCCAAGGTTAAGAACCAGTGCACTATACCAACAGCAATAATGTGGCTGTCTGTCTTCTTTAAGGCTTCCTTTAAAAAAAAATGTTCCATGCTGTGCTCTGTGCAATTGGAAGGCCTGTCCAATCAGGATTCCTAATCCTGCAGAGTGCTGTAACCATGCTCAGCAAAAGGCAGTAGTAACTTTTCTTCAAACCTTCCTCATCAGCCTGGGGAGCCGGCAGAGAAAAGAGAAGGACCAAAACACCAAGCCTCATATCTTCTCCACTTTCTAAAAAATATACAGTCAGTGATATCCCATCAAACTTGTTCACGTTCTTTTTTTGCAAACAGTATGGAAGCAGGGAATGAATATTTAATACACTCTCTAATTACATTTAATTACCTTTACCTTTATCTAATGATATCACCATTGGATTGCTTCTGACATGAATGAAAAAGAAGTCTGTTGACTCCGTATGTCTCTCCTATTTTTTACTGGCCAGAATCTTATTGGTTAGTTATGCTGGTGCACATGCAGTCATCACCACCACTATCATCATCATCTTGGAACTGTGGGGCTGGAAGGGACCCTATGGATAATTGATTCCGGCCTCTTTCAAGGAAACACAGTAGGAAATTGACCTCTTAACCTTTGGCTCAGCAGCCAGATACCTAAACCACCGAGCTATCCAGCAGCTCGTGCCTTAAACTACAGCAGCAAATTCCTTGAGTGAGGAACCTAGAGGAGTGGAGAGGAGCTTAAAATATAACTTTATACTGAAAAGTTTCAAGGCCCCCTTGTACTAATTGTCAGCTACCCTTTTTTTTTTTAAAGACGCTCCTGAACTTATTAATATCTGAGTATCAATTAAGCTATTGATAGGCAAAATATGTCCTGTAACGGAGGATTTCACACTTCAGGTAATGTGTGGTCCTCAGTGTTTGGGATCTGTGTCTTTGCTTTTCTACTGGAAGCAGGCTTTCGGGTCACGCTAAAGGTTCTTTTGGGTATTGTTACGAAGGCTGGTTGTGGAGCAAGAGGTTGGGAGATTTCCCACTGCGTCTTCAGGTAGGAAGATCTGGCCTGTGTCGCCTTGGGCAAGCTCATGACATACCAAGCAGAGCTTGATAAAGTTGCTTTCTTAACCTGAAGCTCCCATCATTCTCCCAACCTGCCTAGCCATTGGTCAGATTCCTACAATGTCAGAATGAGGTCACAATCTGGTCTGTATCTCTGCACACTGAGAGTCAGTTAACAGTCTGGCTGAGCCTTCAACTGGTCAGGATGGATCTTCCTGCTAGGTCAAGATGAGTGTTGAAGGTGGGCTTCATGACCTGTGAACAGCTATGGTGTCATAGTAGATAATGTGTTAGGGAGGAGTTCAAGAGTCCTTGAGTGAGGAACCTAGAGGAGTGAAGAGGAGCTTAAAATATAACTTTATCCTGCAAAGATTCAAGTCTCCCTTGTACTAATTGTCAGCTACCCATTTTCTTTAAAGATGCTCCTGAAATTATTAAT